AATGCGCGATATGTTCTGTGTTTCGGATATTATCGCTGCTAGACTATGCACTTTGATCTTCAGATTTCTCCAGCGCTTTCCATTCTGAGATGTTCGCTTTCATTTTCATCATACGAGTGAATTCAATCCCTAAATGCAGCGTACCTTCATATTATTTCGTGAGAAAAGTGGCGAAGTTGTACTTTTAAATGCTACTTCTGCATGTTTAGGACAGAAGCACCTTAAAAACCATTTATCAAGTAGTATCTAGCAGAAGATTGAAAAACGTAACATAATGTTCAAAAAAGGTACCTATACTCTTCATAATCCAGAAAGCACATGGAGCGGATCGCACATGGAAGATGAAAAACGCGCCGGCAGGCAGAAGAGCAACAGCCAATACCTGCTCCTCTTTCGTTACAGACACTACAGATCTGAAAACAGAAAAGTGCGTCAAAATCACAAGTCAATTTCAGATGATAAATGTGGAAAAACACTTCACATAGCTTCTGCAACGGTATGGGGGAAGCAAAATACACACAGCATGGCATCTGTAGGGCATGATAGTGCCCATATGCAAAAAGGCAAAAACATTGCTACACCCGCATATTGAAGATTTGACTAACCATAAGCCTTTTCTCCATTGACATGATGGGTCCTGAGAAACATTCGTTTCTTGACTCTTACTCATCCTATCAGATGTCTTGTGGGACCAGCTGGCGCTTTTTGAGAAATGGTGAAGCTAAACCTTTAAGGTACCTTCCGGTCATTGCTGTGTTGCAGCGCTTTGCCAGTCGCACTGACTTGTGATAACTTCGCTATTGTGAATTTGTTACGAAGATTCCAACTGGACTATCTTCAGAGTAGACGCAGCCATACAATATACGTGAATCATCAGTTCTCAGTTCATTTCTACTCCTCATAATCAACTCAGGAAGAACTCTTACAAGTAAGAGAGTTACATCGCTTGTGTGAGTGAATGTCTCTTTATTACTTTTCTTGACAGATGCCCGAAACTCTCATGACACAACTTGTTACCATCCAGCTTGATATTAATTGTTCTGAAACTCCCTTTCACTGAACCTACTGGATAAGTGGGAACTACATGACCTATCAATGCACTGTTCAGGAGACAAAAACGACTTCATATCGGATCTTCACCACATTATGCTGTGGGCCTAAGGTTGCACATTACTGAGTGCTCTAGCGTGGAAGACTAGAAATTATAGCTGCGCTTAGATAGGATATTTTGGAAAAGTATCCGTGTTAACGAACAATTTATTCGGGTGTTTTGCTCACCCGAATAAATTGTTCGTTAACACGGATATATTCAGCAGCATTAAGAAAAATTTATCTCACCAATGTCCTTCCTCGAACATATGCTCGGTGCAATTGGTTTATATCTGTCTCGAAAAGCTCCTTTCCAAGTGGCGTCGGATTATCAATAGTCAGGATTTCCGGAGTCATAAGCTAAATCTCGAAAACGCATAAAAACACGAAAAAGCCATCCCGCAATTATGAAGCAAACTTACAGCACAAAGTTCATGTACAGCAAAAAACAAAGGGATTTCTGGACACCAACGAAGACGACCACATAATTCGTTGGTATCTGAGTCTTCGTCAAAGCAGAAGATGCATAATGGAGGCTGCCTAGAAATGAAGCATAGTTCCTCTTGCATTCCTCATACTCCAACACAAACAGATATCAGATGGGGGACGGAGAAAAAACCTTTTTGGCACTAATTAACACGTTGACGACCGTGTGGTATGATGTCATACCACACTTTCACATGGAGCAGACTAGTTTTCCTTAATTTTTTGGCGTTTTTCCTGTTCCACAACGGTCCATGTACATTATTGGATCCGAAAAACATTTTTCATTACTGATAATGAAAACGCTGAAGATTAATGCCTATTGATGAGAGAATACAAAAAATGTTGAAGCAGTGCGCGCATAACGGCGGTCGTCAACGTGTTAAATTGAAGAGGCTTCATTCCGGAAACGGTTGTGTGCACTTTCCACGTCGGTGCGCTCATTATTGCTCTCACTTAATTGACAACATTCCGAAAGGAATACAGGTTCAGAATGAATACACTCCTGAGTACCGAAAAAGTAGAGAAAACCTGTTAGACCGCCTGCTCAACCTTCACCTTTTACTACGTTTTTGGCTATAGCAATCTCGAGAATCAGCAGCTAGCAAGAGCATAGGACTCCAAATTACGAACCTGTCAACAGCTTTGGAAAACCTAAGAAATGCTAGAGCTAGGGCCAGGATTAGAGTGTTGCCGATTATGGAGTTTCCTAACACTACTGAGCTAGGCTTTAATCTCAGCCTCTAATCCCTCAGTGATCCTTAATTTTTTTGAAAGTTTTGTTCTTAGCAAAAGTTGTTTGCCTCGATTTGCTTATTTGTTTGGACATATGTGCAATTCGCAACTGGAAGAACTCCAATGCTCTCCTTTGCAGTGAATTACAGCGTTATCACAGATCGCTTCGCAATAGTTGAGAGGTAAATGT